TCATTACTTTCCTGAGTATAAGTTGGGACTTCATTGAATCTGCTCTAATCTGAATTTTCATCTTGAAAGTAGCACATTTTGTGTAGCTGAATTGGTTCCAAAATTTGATCACTTCAATAACCATTACGTTTGTTTCAATATTGTTTAGGGATAAAGAGAGGCTTCATCAGACCTGATAGCATTGACAAAATAGCATTTTTGTGCCTCCTGAAACATGTTGGAAGAAAATACACACCTTGCCTTAAGCATCCAAACATTTTTGAGGCTTACAGTATGGTTCCATGAGATCACGTTAACAGGAAACAATGTGCATATTTTAAAATGTAAAAGCTAAAATGTGTAGAATTAAAATGAATGTACAGAGACACCAATGACTCAGTGGGAAAACATAGCATCTATTTGCTAAATTGCACAAGATATAAATTAGGGAAAATGTGTAAAAATGTGTACAGATTTCAGTGCAGGAAGAGACCATTCTTGCTACACAACACAGTATAAAATGTGGGTAGGAAAGAAATGCAGGTGGGATTGATAGGAATTCATGGTGTTGAAAACTGGAAATGTAGATATCTTTTTTTCCCCCTGCCTAAGTACTTATTTTTTCTCAGTATCTTTTTTATTGAATATTTTTACCCTCATTGTCCTTGGCTTTGTTCGCCCACTATACCATTTAATCTGAATGACTTTAAAAAATAGTTTAGGATTTCAGAATGTCATGAAATCAGATGCAGCAGTGCCATCAACAAAATCAAAGTCAATTGGATTAAACATCTGTGAGGGCAAATGAGGGACAGAACTTTAAGATCAAACAAAGGGGGAAGGATGTGACACTGAAAAGAATAGCATCAGAATAATTTTAATATATTCACAATGGTCTGCATTGGGAAGTTATTCTGTTGTGAATTTAAGTTACTTTTTTCACACCTTTCCACAAGAGTTGATTTCTGTTAATTTCATCTCTAGGCACTCCTCCCCTCAATATCCGATGTCCTTCCTGTAGATTTCTAACTTGAAGATTATTAGAATTGCTGAAGCAAGGAAAGAAATCTATGTTCCTCAGCTATTTTGTTTATGTAAAAGCACTTAAATAATAGAGAATGGGTAGCAAAAATTCCTGAAAATGAGAAAAAAATATATAATGGCTGACACCTGGCATGAGAAAGATATAGAATGGGTGATGCATGGTCCATGTGAAAGGGGTCCAGGAGTCATAGTAGACCACAAGATAAACATGAGTCAACAGTGTGATGCATCAGCTAAAAACAAACAAACAAACAATATGATCCTAGGCTGCATCAATAGGAGTATAGTGTATTGATGGAGGGAATTAATTGTGACAGTTTACTCTGCTTTGGAAAGACTTCACCTGGAATACTGTGTACAGTTCTGAGCACCATAATTCAAGAAGTATATTAACAAGCTAGAACAGTGATGCACCGGTGGGGCATCACACTTGTGAATACATGACTGATCAATGGGGTGACCATGCAATGGGATAGCAGCTGGGTGGTCATGGGAGGTACTTGGACATTGCAGGTGGTGTGTTTGTGCAATGGTGTACACACATGATGGGAAGACATCCCCAATATAATTACCCAATAGCACAGCTTAATTCTGCACCATGTGGTCTACCTGTGGGGTATTTGGTTCACCTTGGGAGTGGGCCATGCAGACAGTGGGGTTTTGACATGCTTTTGAAAAAAAGTAGGATTAAGCCACTTTTTCCTGCCCATCTTCTCCAACTTCTAGTCTCCCCACTCAATACAAAAAAAGCCAGTGATTAAGAGAATTAGCATATGCAAGATTTTTTGGTACAGGTACCTGTTACCTTTAGACGTACTTCTGCGCCTCAGTTAGGCAAAATGCCAGAGGCTCAAGGAGGAATTCATCAATTTCATTCTGTGCAATGATAGATAGTACTTTTGTCACAGTTCCATTTTACTCTTCATGATAAAATCACTTTTCATTTAAATGTAAAAGCATTTATAAAATTTAATGAGGAAGCATAACCTTAAATAGTTTCTAAATGCTGATGTAAAAAACACAAAAGCTTTGAAGGTTAAATTCCCTTGAGTAGTGGGAAAGTGAAATGAAACTTTTAGATGTTTCTTTTTCAAATTATAATCTGGGAATATTTCCTCTTTTGACTGCTATAAAAATTGCAATTCAAATTTAGAATAACAAGCAAACATATCTAAAAAGGGATCCTTCCCTTCATTCCATATTTTTATCCTATCCTACCATACCTGTGAACATTATTACCAATGAAATTTTCTTCCATTGACTGGAATCCTTTGAGCTGCATGCCATATTTCAGGCCTGCTTCATGTCTTCATGGTAACAAGCCTAACAAGCCATTTCAGAAGATCAGAAAAGTGTATGAAGCAACCTTCCATAACAGATTCAATTTACCCCAGTCAGAACTGCCAATGTTTAGGGAAGATGGGAATTTGCACCCAAAACATCTAAAAGATTGCAGAGGACCTGTACAAACCAGCCACAAGGGCTGGCCTGGGTGTGGAGTTGGAGTGGGGTGACCACACGCTGGCCACTCTGACTCCCAACTCTGCCATCACGCCACACGCAGCATCAGGCCACTCCTTTGGCACAGTGTGTAGACACATTGCACTAAAAGGTCACAGAAAATCATGAAGTGGCAAAGAGATGGATTGGGGCCACAGCGTGTGGCTGTCACAGCCCCGATCAGGTGCTCCCAGGGGCGGCATGGAACCACCCCTTAGAGGCCGTCTGTACGGCCCCAGCAACGCCTTTTTTATTTTTCCATCCTAAATATCCTGAATGTCAATGCTCTAGAAAGGAGAATTTTCATGTTCATGAGTCCATTTTGAAAATACTGTTGTTCATAAACTAGTAGTGCAGGTGACTAGAAGATAGATATTAGGGATGTAATTTTCTTCTTGAAGGAAGCAACAAATAAATTTCACATTTTTTCTTCGCATTATGATAAAGCTTTCAAAACTTCATTTTTCAAAGATTATTTACAGTAATCCACACACAAAAAAAAGTTGTTTGTTGAGCATTTGCACAGCCATGTACTAATTTTGCATAGAATGTGTCCCAAATTGCAAAGATTCTCATCAGGCTATGATTCTTCTCATTAACTCATTTACATTTCTATATTGCTTCATACTGAACTAAGCAATCTCTAAGTGGTTTACCACATGTAAGCCAATTTCCCCCAACAAGCTGGATACTCATTTTACCACCCTATGAAAGGATGGAAGGCTGAGTTGACCTTGGAGCCCCTCAGAACTGAACACAACAACATTGTGGCTGCAGTACAGGCATTTAAACATTGTGCCACAGTGCTTCTTTTAAAATTATTCAACACTCAAGAAACACATTTTTAACTATTGTTTGGATACTTTCAAATGTTCAATCCATTCCCAGGATGGTAACTGACAAAATGGCAAATAATTTTCATCCCCTCAGATAAAGAGATAGGTATGGGAACCACATCTATTTCAGTTGCACTCTTGTTATTGGGTGCAGGAAGTAATTATAAATAACTACTTATCTGGACATGTCAGGGAGATGTAGCCACTCCTTGATTTCTAATTAAAATGTAGTCACTTCTTAATTTCTAATTAAAAGATAGCCACTTCTTTATTTCTAATTAAAATGTAAACTGTCTATGAGTCTTCTCTGTTAATTTCATTCATATAGGATATTTTAGGTACACACTTAGCTGCAGGCTTAGGCTGCAATCTTGTGGAAGTAAGTCTTAATAAATTCATTGGGACACTTCTCATGAGTAGATATGCATAAGATTATATTGCTGATGTGACATGCCATCTTTGGATCCTAGTAATGAGGATAAGTGTGTGTGTGTGTGTGTGTGTGTGTACATAACTATATCTGCAATTGTGTACATAACAGTGTGTGTGTATGTGTGTGTAACTCAAAATACAAGAAAATATGTTATTTCTATATTGCACAATATCAGAATTAAAGCTCAAGGGTATGTTTTTTTAAAAAAATAATTTGCGCTATTGTTTCACTTTAGCTCAAGCAGAAAAGAACCTCACAATGACAACTAAGGCAATACAAATGCACCAGTTCTTATTGCAGTTAATAATATCCACTAATAATGTTTTGGTTTAAATTGCAGTTGACACAGAAGTAATTGATGTTTTTCCTACTGAGGGTGTATTTCTCTTCTATTTTTTTCTTCTTCTTCATTTCAAGGCATAAACATAAAGAATGATATACTTGTATTATATTGGCTGTGATTAATTGATACACAAACATAATAGATATCCAAACACTTCCTTTGTTTTGCTATATTATTTCAAATTATGAAAGGAAATGTTGCATTTCTCATCTACCTCCCAGAGATATAATGTAGAGAGGAAAGTGACCTACCCTTGTGCATATCTAGATTGTCCATACTTACTTCAGGCTGAAATTGCCCTGCAGTTAGTTATTGTCAATAGGATACTTGGTAAAATTATATATAAGTAAATAATTATGATTTATAGTGCAATCCTGTACTTGTTGATGAGGACCAACTCTTCCAGTAGGTAGATTGAAGTGATCACCTGAAATAGCAGATTTTGGATGTCATGACAGGGCATTAACCTGTTGGTTATTGAATTTGTTATTATTGTATATTTTGCAACTGCAAAGAACAGAGAGAGCTGACAGTGATGTTTTCTTTCTTATGTCTGAAAAATAATTTAGCTGGCCTTAGGTACATTAACTGAAATGTGTGTTGACCATATCTTGCACCACCTGAGGCAACAAAATGCCTTGGGCTGCTCCCTGTTTTCTACTCAGATGTTAAGCTTCATTATGTTCATTTCGGTTTATTGTTGTTGTTGTTGTTATGTGCCTTTTAGTTGTTTCCAATTTATGGTGACCCTAAAGCAAACCTATCATAGGGTTTTCTTGGCAAGATTTGATCAGAGAACATTTGCCATTGCCTTCTTTTGGGGCTGAGAGCATGTGATCTGCCCAAGGTCAACCAGTGGGTTTCATGGTCAAGCCAGGAATTGAACCCTGGTCTCCAGAGTTTCAGTCCAACACTCAAACCACTACGCCATGCGGGCTTTCCCAGGTAAATTATAGGACTTTCAGCATTATGCAGTGTTGAATATTATACCAAACCTGGGAACAATGTTTCCAGAATAATAACCCACTTCATTCTGTGTCTGAGACCAATTTACAAAAAGTTATAAACTCTCCCTGTTATTTTTTCCAAATATTTTTCCTTTTAAAAAGAGAAATAGCACAAAATAAATTAACTCCACAGTTTCCCAGAACCATGCAGCATTTCAGTATTCCAGTGACAGAAAAACTAAGAGGAACAAGCATATTGCAACTAAATAAAAGGATACAATAAAGGAAATTCAAATATTATTATCAAATAAGTCACATTTAGAAACAGCAGAGGCATTTTCTGATATTAAGTCTGGACTGGGAAGAAACAACAATGGTGAGTCAGAAAAGAATAGTAAGGACATCACTTATGGAGGAAAACAATGAGCCATTTCAAGGTTCATGTGGTCATTGTTCTAACTAAATGTTTACCACTGTCAATGATCTGATGTGCAGGTACACAAATTTGCCTAGAATACTATTAAAAATCACAAAAGGTTTCCAAGGGCAGGCATGGAAGAAAAATTCAAGGATGCTTTTCAGCCAGCTTCAAACAAGAAACAAGCTTTTCAAGCCTGAAAATTTCCTTCTCTCTGGACTAAACTCAAAGGGAAAAGAGAATTGCTGGCTCAGTTTCCCTCCTTTGGAGGCTCCACTGCATCCAAAAATTAAAACCTTGAGAAGAGAAACAAGGGGGGGATGTCATTCCACAAGATGAGGGGTGAGTTTCTTGCCACCATCCTTAAATTTTGCAAGTTCTTTTACCAATCTCTGTTTTAACAAATAGCGCTGTTCATTTCCTCAGGGGCAAATAAAGAGAAATGCCTTCAATAAATAAGAAGAAAAAGAAGAAACAATAACAACACTGGGGTGCTCCATTAAGAGGCCCTTTCCTTGTGACTCTGGAAGTATAGAAGGGTATAAGGATTCTCTGAGGGACTACAATGCATGTCACAATTTCACTGCTGCTTCACTTTTACTGTCATTCATTCTGGCACAAACTGTTGCAATAGCAGCCTCTAATAATTATGGATGCATCTGCACAGCAGAAATAGTGCAGTTTGACACCACTTTAACTGTGATGACTCAATGCTATGGAATTATGGGATTTGTAGTTTTGTAAGCTATTTAGCCTTCTTTGTCAAAGAGCTCTGATGCCATTACAAACTACAAATCCCAGGATTCCATTGTATTGAGTCATGATAGTTACAACCATGTCAAACAGAATTAATTCTGCAGTGCAGATTCAGCTTCTTTTATCCCGCTAGTGTTTTGGACATTTCTGCTTTGAATTAAAATCTAAATAATTGCTTTCTAACATGTCATTTTCTTCTTGTTGTTTTTTAAAAAAAATTCGTCTGCTTTTTAAATATATCAACGTCCCATTCATGAATTGTTTGTATCTTATTCATACTTAATGTACTTCTACCTGACACCAATGTCTTAGGAACAGGTTACTAGGCAATATTGGGTAATGTGGTACAGTGACTCCTTACACAGATGGAAAATAGATTGATTTTATACCTCATTACTGCCTTCTAAGTTTCACGTTCATAGGACTGTACTGCCAATTATTCAAAATTACCCAAGGCCAGAAAGGGAATTATTCTTTTCTTTTTTTATTTTAAAGACCACTATAATCTATTTTATACAGCCTATGGACGTTATCACACAGGGCAAATCTGCTGGTTAATCCACACAAATCCCAAACAAAAACTGGATTTGTGCCTCCCGTTTTCACACAACGTCACACAGAAACTGGACAGAAAGTGGACAGAAACTGGTGCTATCCGAGATCTTTTGAAATTCGGTTGTTTGGAGGAAATCAAATGCGAAATTAAGGTAATTTCGCATTTACCATAATGTGAAAAGCAAATGCGCATTTGGGAGCATTTCCCTGCTTTTCCCATAGTTCCAGCGAGCATTCCTCTATCTGCGCATGTGCAAGAAGCTCATTTCTAGTATATTGACGGGCTTTTCTCAGTTGTGTGTGAATGTTAAATGCGCTTACTTTAATTTCGCAATTAAGGTAATTACGTGTGAAAGCCATTTGCGGAATCAAGGTTTAGTTTCAGTTTATTTTTGGAATGCCTCATTTCCACTTTATTATCACTTTCTGGCCCACGTGTGATAACATCCTATATTGAAATATTTTTTTTTTATTATTTTCAGGATTTCTTCAAAGAAGAAAAATGAAACAAATACCTGAAGACTTTGGACCGAGATAAATATTTCATAGTAGATTGGGAAAAGATAATGCAAAACAGTGTGGGAATAAAAACAGGCTGAAATAATACATTCCTTGCCACAGTGAAATCATGGGTGGAGTAATATAATAAAAATATATTAATACTATTTTCCAATGGTTTTTCACCCTTTGGATAAGAGGGCAAGAGTATCCTGTGGAGAGAAGCAGGTTAGAGCCAGCTCTGGTCACAACCAATCAGGACTGAGCTGGTGACAGCCAATATAATGCTGGGCTGTAAGAAGAAAATTCTTTTAGGGATAGTTGAAAGTCAGTTAGGGTTTGGATTCCAAACAGTGAGGGTCTGGTGGTGAAGGCTAAGGTCCAGAAGAGAGGGGCCTAGTACCTCTACTAAACTCCAAGTGAGGGAGTTAATAAAGATAATATCCTGAGGGGTACTGATAGCCTTAGAGGATGGTTAAGAAATAGTGGTAAAGGTACCCAAAGAATGGCTAAGAGTGTCCTGAGGAGGTAATTGAAAGTGTTCCAAGGAAAGGAGTGAGTTTAACCAATCGTAACATGCAGCAAGACCAAATGAAATGATGTCTTTTCATCATGGATACCCTATACATCTGAGTAATGCATGAATCAGGCTACCATATGTGGTCAACACTGTTTTTGGAGTTTATCACATGGGAGGCAAAGCGTCCAAATCCCATAGATAAACAGGGTTTGAATCCTGTAAATATCCCTCAAAAGTGGGATAGTTTTCAGACACATTGAGCTAATTCAGTGTTATCCCAATATTAACCTGTGAATAAAGCAGCAAAATTGTGCCGCTTTTTACTTTCAGAAAAATCCCAAAAGTAAAAAGCGGAATGATTTTGCCACTTTATTCATGGGTCAATTTCAAAATAATGCTGGATTAGCCCAATGCTGACTGAAAACAATTCCACTTTTGCTGGTAAACCCCATATATCCATGGAGTTTGGGTGCTTAGCCTCCCTGTGATAATCGTTTGCCTCATTTGAAAATAATTTTCCAACTAGAACTAAGTAGAGATTGGCAAGTAATGCCAAATATTGAGGATAGTGGAAGATAGATGGTGTATTTTGTTCCTTTCACCCCATTTTGCCTAGATAATTTGTGTCACTATATATCAGTTGATTTATAGGTAGAATATGAAAAAGATAATGGGGCTAACTGCTGAGAGACTAGGGCTTTGTTTTTCTTTACTTCGGATTAGTAGGGATTAAATTATTTGCAAATTTTGTTCTTGAAGGAAGCAACAAATAATTTTAGCAATTTTCTTTGTACTGCAAGAAAGTCTATGAAATTATTCAGTTTCAAAGTCTATTTGCAGATTAGGATATATTCTGTGCAAAATTTGTACATAGTATGTTTACACTGAAAATAGCATTTCTGTAAAAAAAAATGCCATTTTTGTACAAATTTCCATCTGCAAATTTTATTTAGAATAAATCTCAAATTAGAGATTTCTAATAGTTTCCTTATCAGGTCTCTCAATGCTTAAGAAGCATGTTTTTTCAACCATTTTCAAAACATTTGTAAATATTCTTTCCAAAAACTGAGTAGTAAGAACTAAATAATATAAAAAGCCCTAATTACCATCTGACTGAGGTAACAAAACAAGTGATGCCAATAAGGAGACACTGAACAATATATACATCCAAAGACCTATCAAAGAGAGTTAGCACTGAGGCATGGCCACTTTAATTGTCAGAGCAGCCAATATTTAAAATATTAGGTAAATGAAAAGCAAAATGCATATTATTTTCAAAGAACCCATCCAAGTAGTTCCACATGACCAAGAGAAGTTCAGACTTTATTTATGTATATATTTACAGCAGCACCCTATTTGGTGTGCCAAATTACTTTTGAAAGCAAAGGGATATTCAGAAGCACTAAAATATATGTTAGTAGTCAGTAGTCAAAAGAGGGAAACTAACATGCAATAGTAGTTTAAGCATTGGACTATGAATCTGGAGCCCAAGATCTGAATCCCATGAAAACCCATTGAGTGACCTTAGGCCAGGGGTAGGAAACCTAAGGCCTGGGGGCTGGATGCGGCCCCCGAGGCCTTTGGACTGGCCGCCACCGCCACCCCCTGCCACTGCCCACCATGATGATATTGATTATTGTTGTTATTACTTGTTCTTGGGGTTTTCTTAGCAAAATCTCCACAGGGGTTTTGCCATTGCTTTTCTGGGGCTGAGAGAGTGTGCATGCATATTTTTTAAAAAAATTAAATTTATTTAAAATTGTTATTTTTATATTCATTCATTCATTCATTGTGCCAATTGTCTGAGGGACAGCAACCCGGCCCCCAGCTCAAAAAGGTTGCCTACCCCTGCCTTAGGCAAATCACCATCTCTCAGACTCAGAGGAAGCAAAGGCAAACCCTCTCTGAACAAATCTTACCAAGAAAAAAAACTCCATGATAGGGTCATTTTAGGGTCACCATAAGTCAGAAATGACTTAAAAAGCACACAATAGCAAGAAGTTAAAAGGAAAGGTCATATTTAAAAAGTAGTTCCAGAAGTATCTAAATTTATTATTTGTGTGTAACACTGGAGTTCAAAAGACATAGGAGTGGACTTCCATTCATGGACAATGATTCTCTTCTATTTTTCCCTTCTAAATCCACACAGTTTCTCAACTCTCTGGAGGACATTTGAGAGATGGAGAGAGATTCCCTTTTGCCACTAGCATCCACTCTGTTGGTAGACAAGAACAACTATAAAC